GGATCTCAGGGAGGGGGCTTGTTTGTTTGTTTTAATAATATGCTGTGATTGCTGACCTGGATTCAGATTCTGGCTCTGCCAGTGGCCTGCTGGTGGGGAGGGCGGTGGAGGTGCGGGTGGGCTCCAGCGGGCGGGGGCCGGGCTGGCACAGCCTCGCGGCTGCAGGCGCCCAGCCGGGGGCGAGAAAACGCGGAGTCAGCTGCTCCCGTAGCCCCGCAGGCTGCAATGTGACACCCACAGCCGCGGGAGGGGGGTGGGGGGAAGGCGGCGCCCGGAGACTGGGACAGGAAAGACGGAGGGACAGGGAGAGATGGAGACGGGAGGAAGGGGGCGAGAGACAGAGAAGGACTCAGAGCGCACCTGAGTGGTCCGCTGGGAGGCTGGGGACGTGGGGGTCAAGGGGGAGACGGAGACAGAGAGAGGGATATTGGAGACAGAGAGAGAGAAAGAAAAAGAAAGAGAGTTAAGAGACTGAGCGCGATGGAGAAAGGGAAACTTGAGAGAGGCAGAAGGAGATGGAGAGAAGAGAGAGGGAGATGGGGGTGCCCGTGAACACCGGGAGAGAATCTGGCATGGAGTTTTAAAAGGGATAGACGTGGAAAGGTGGAAAGGGATTAGGAGAGGTCTCCTTCTGAGCCCAGAGAGTGGACACAAAGTGGAGGGACCTTCAGAGAGACCCCTGAGAGGGACAAAGATGGGAGGGACTGAGACAGAGGCCCTCAGGGAGTCTGAAAGGGACCGCAGCAGGGGCGGATGGATGAGAAGTCCTGAGGATCAGGAGACAAGGACAGCACAGGGCTGCAGCAGAAGAGACACCGCGTTAGCTACAGAGTGCTGGGAGGCAGGAAGGAGGTGCCAGGTAGGAGAGTGAAGGAATTCTAAGACTGGAATTCCATGGGGTGCAAAGGCCCTGGGGCAGGAGAGAGCTCAGGAAAGCTTTGAGTAGTGGATGGGATTGGGGTGGGAAGAGCTCTAGAGGCGAGGACCCTGGGGAAGAGGGGATGATGGAAGCAGGAGAGGCTGGGGAGGGGATGGCTCACACAGGGGCTTGTGGGGCTGGGAAGAGGGGCTGAGTGTGGATCAGCCCCAATTCCAGTGCCCACCTCCCCAGAATCCCCCACCCCCAGACCTTCTTTTCTCCCAACCCATTTCTCCTGGAGCTAGCTGGTTTTGCAATTTAATGGTGAAAACGACTGCCACCTTGAACTTCTAACTTAGCTGGAAGTGTCATTCTACTACCTAGGTGCTTGGGTTCCTCCAGCAAGGGACTTTCTGAGGAAGGGGCACTCGGGTAGCAAAAAGTCTGAGTTACTGGCAACGTTGACAGTCCCTATGGGGCCTCCCATGTACAAGGCCCTACCTAATGTATGAAAATGGGCCCAGCCAATGCTGGAAGCAGAGGACCATTTCTTTCAACAAGAGAGAGGGAAACTGAGACCCAGAGACGAATGACTTGCTGAGGTCACACAGTGAGTGACAGGGCTTAGCCTGGCATCCAGTCTCGTCTGCTGGTAATCATTGAGGGGGGAACAGATGGTTTGTGAGGGGTCTGGCATTGCTTAGGGCAATGGGTGCCTCTGCCTGACCTGAGCCTGCTGTCCCCACAGTGTCCTCAGCCTGGGGGGGCTGCGTGGAGGTGGACTCGGAGACCGAGGCGGTGTATGGGATGACCTTCAAAATTCTTTGCATCTCCTGCAAGCGCCGCAGCGAGACCACCGCTGAGACCTTCACTGAGTGGACCTTCCGCCAGAAGGGCACTGAGGAGTTTGTCAAGGTGTGTGGGTGCCGGGCACGGGTGTGGGATGGCGGGAATCCGCGTGTGGGAGGCAGTGGGCTGGATCTCAGGGAGGGGGCTTGTTTGTTTGTTTTAATAATATGCTGTGATTGCTGACCTGGATTCAGATTCTGGCTCTGCCAGTGGCCTGCTGGTGACCTTGGCCAAATCAGTGAGCCTCTCTGAAAGTCAGTTTCCTCCTCAGTAAAGATGGGGTGGCAGTGGTCTCTAGCCCATAGGTTTGCGTGAGGACCGAATGCATTGACGCACCTGGCACATGGTTGGCACGAAATAAATGTCAATGGACTTATTTGGCACCAGCAAACAATGTCTCAGATAGTCATTACAGAGGGAAGACAGAACTTTTTTCTTTTTTTTAACCTCCTTTGAAATACGTGTGTACTTTGCATTACATATGGGAGAGGGAACCATAAACTTCGATGACGTGCTGGAGAATTGGGGTCTCCAGCTGCGGGGATCAGACTGCCCTGTCCCTGCTGGAGGAGTGTATCTGGTGGCTGGGAAAGAACTGCAGAGAATGATGGCCTAGAGGCCAGATGGGGCTTGAGAGGATGACTGAGGAACGTGTGTGTGCACATGTGCATCTCGGTTGGAGGCAAAAGCGAGGTCTGGATGACTCCAGGCATGATCCTAGCCCCCGCCCCCCCACCCCTGTGCCCTCTCTGCCTGAGGTCAAGGCGTCTGAGCCCATCTATGTACCATCTGTGTCTGTGGGTGTCACGGCAGGGGAGAGAATCAGGGTCAGGTGAGGGAAGAGAGGCCCAGGCAGCGACACCTCCCCCTCCCTGGCTACCCCTAGATCCTGCGCTATGAGAATGAGGTGTTGCAGCTGGAGGAGGACGAGCGCTTCGAGGGCCGCGTGGTGTGGAACGGCAGCCGGGGCACCAAGGACCTGCAGGATCTGTCTATCTTCATCACCAACGTCACCTACAACCACTCGGGCGACTACGAGTGCCACGTCTACCGCCTGCTCTTCTTCGAAAACTACGAGCACAACACCAGCGTTGTCAAGAAGATCCACATTGAGGTAGTGGACAAAGGTGAGTTGGGCGCTGCCTGCCTCTTTGCCGTCACCCACCGGCGAGCCAGATGGAGGGACAGATGGCAGGTAGTGGACAGGACAGGCTGGCTCTGTGCCTGGCCAGCCATCCGCCCACAGCAGCGGGCTGGGGGAAGAGGGGAGCATCCTCTCCCGCCCACTCCAGCTCTGGCCTCTGTTTCCCTCCAGCCCACAGAGAGGTCAAAGCATGCATCTCCCCCACAGATGCTCCGGGTACAGAACCCAGCTCTGTCACCTGTGCTGCATGATCTCTGGCAGGTGCCTTCTGTCTCTGAGCCAAAGGGTTGTCCTGGGCTCGCCCAGGATAATAATCTGATGTGTTTCTCGGGGTGTAGTTTGAGCCATGATTCCATCACGGGCGTCATGAGGATTGAGCAACTGCAGGCACATGCCCAGCTTCCATCAGAGCCTTGCACGTGGTGGTGAGGGTGGCGGTTCTTACTGTTTGAGTAACTCAGCCCTGCTGCCCTCTGTCGTGATGAGACAAGAGAGCGTGCCACCTAGAGCAGAGTTCCACACACCCCTCTGCACTCCTGCCACAGGGGAGCTGCGCTGGCCTGCAGAGTCTCACTCAACACCTCTGAGGTGGGCCCAGGGGTCCTTTCTAAAACTCTCAGGTGAGGCAGTGTGGGGCCACAGGTGTGGGGCCCACCCTCTGAGCAGCAAGGATCTACAGCGCTTTCGGATGTCTCATCATTTTGCCTCAGCCGCCCTGGACCCCTTGTTTGAGGGAGGTCCACCCCTTCTCTGAACCATCTTCTGCTCAGCATCAATTGCAATTGTCCAGGGCCCTGTGGCCACTGGCTTAGAGGCGGGGAGATAGCCCAGGTTTGAACCAGCTACAAGCCGTGGCAAGAAGGTCTCGCGGGGCCACGGCACACACATCCTCACGGGCAACATGCACTGCCCGTCTTTTCCGTGAGATGGATGCCGGCCTCAGTGCCTTACAAGGAGTTCCTTAGTGAATCCTCTCCCCACCCTCGGGGTTGGGACTCTTCCTATCCCCATTTTACAGATGAGAAAACCACGGCTCAGGGAGCGAAAGTTATGTGGCCAAAGTCATGTGATTGGGAGCTGGACTTGAACCCAGAGGAGCTTGGGTGACTGTGTTTCCGTTCTTGGCATGATTCACTGTACTCTGTGATCAGCCAGAGCCTGTGGGTTTCTTTTTATAATGAGCATTTTTACGTTTATTGTCAAAGCGGTGTAGCCAAATGCAATTCAGCAGGCATGTCTGAGCCACTCTGGTGTTCGTCATGCTGCTGGGGGGTGGGGGTCAGCCGCAGAGGTGGACGATGGAGCCCCGCCCGCGGAGTTGCTGTGACAAAGACGCCCCTGGTACTGGGGCTTTACAAAACCTGTTATTGCTCTTGCAAATCTGTAGAGGTGAGATGGGAGAGGGTGGGAGGCCCCAGGGCACTGTTCAGCCACCTAGGTGCTTTCCATCTTGTTATTGGCGATTGGCCAGGGTGTTGTGTCCTCTGTACACCTTGACCCAGTAGAGCCTCTCTTTTTTTTTTTTTTAAATTTACATTTTTATTTTTTGATACAGAGTTTTGCTCTTGGTGCCCAGGCTGGAGTGCAATGGTGTGATCTCGGCTCACTGCAACCTCCACCTCCCGGGTTCAAGTGATTCTCCTGCTTCGGCCTCCTGAGTAGCTGGGATTACAGGCATGCGCCACCACGCCCAGCGAATTTTTGTATTTTTAGTAGACATGGAATTTCACCATGTTGGCCAGGCTGGTCTCGAACTCCTGACCTTAGGTGATGATCCACCTGCCTTGGCCTCCCAAAGTGCTGGGATTACAGGCATGAGCCACTGCACCCGGCCTGAGCCTCTCTTTTTTAGGATTGTCCACTGTTATCACACTACATCCCAGAGCCCGTATTTTTACCAGCATTTACCGTTGTATGCAGTTCCTTATGTTGGCCCTGCAGAGTTTGTTTTCTGCACTATCCACCCAGTTCTAGTGTTTTTTACCCACCATATGTAGTATTGCCTTTTAAACATCACCCACTATATTATAGTATTTTATATTACCCACTATAGTATATTTTATGTTACACAATATATTATACTATCATAATATTGCCAAGCACAGCAGTTTTTTGTTTTTTGTTAAAGAGAGACCAAGTCTCACTCTGTTGCCCAGGCTGGGATACTGTGGCATAATCATAGCCCACTGCAGCCTCAAACTCCCCAAATCCAGCGATCCTCCTGCTTGAGCCTCCCAAGTAGGTGGGACTACAGGTGTGAGTCACTATGCCCAGCTCTCTCTCTCTATATATATATGTCTTTTTTTTGTAGAGACTGGATCTTGCTATGTTGCCCAGGATGGTCTTGAACTCCTGGCCTCAAACAATCTTCCCTCCTTAGCCGCCGTTAAGTGCTGGGATTACAGGAGTGAGCCTCCACACCTGGCCTGCAGTATTGTTATTATAATCCATCACGCTGGAGTATTTTTAACATTCCCCACCATGGTGGGTATTTTTATTATCCACCATGCTATGCTATAGTATTTTAAAAATCAATCCTATTGTAGCATTCAAAAATATTCCATTCTATACTATACTATATTCATCATCACCCCTGATACTACAGTATTTTTAACATGACTCACTGTGCTACTGTATTTTTTCATTACCCACAATACCACAATATTACTGTATTTGTTAGCACTGCCTGCCGTTCCTTATTATTATTATTTTTGTGATGGAGTCTCTCTCTGTCACCCAGGCAGGCTGGAGTGCAGTGGCACAATCTCGGCTCACCGCACCTCCCGGGCTCAAGCGATTCTCCTGCCTCAGCCTCCCAAGTAGGTGGGATTACAGGTGCACTCCACCATGCCCAGCTAATTTTTGTACTTGTAGTAGAGACGGGGTTTTACCATGTTGGCCAGGCTGGTCTCGAACTCCTGACCTCAGGTGATCACCCGCCTCAGCCTCCCAAAGTGCTGTGATTACAGGTGTGAGCTACCGTGCCCGGCCTATTATTATTATTTTGAGTCAGAGTCTCACTCTGTCGCCTAGGCTGGAGTGCCGTGGCACGATCTTGGCTCATTGCAGCCTTCACCTCCTGGGTTCAAGCGATTCTCCTGCCTCAGCCTCCGAAGTAGCTGGGATTACGGGTGCATGCCACCATGCCTGGCTAATTCTTTTTTAGTTTTAGTACAGATGGGGTTTCGCTATGTAGACCAGGCTGGTCTTGAACTCCTGGCCTCCATTGATTCACCCACCTTGGCCTCCCAAAATGCTGGGATGACACATGGGAGCCACCACACTGACCTTTTTATTATTTTTATCCACCATCTCGCTGCAGTTTCAGTATTGCCTATCAACCTCTATTGCCTCCTGGTAATGACCCCTGAGGAACGAGCCATGTCATTTCCATAGGAGGAGGCGACGGGTCATGGTGGTGAGAACTTCACTGACCTGGAAGAGGTGGAGAAGATGCTGGGAAGCTGCTGGGGGCTGCCCACCGGTGGTAGGAGCAGGCAGATGGGGACCCATGGGGACAGGAATCCTATTTTGGATCCACACAACATGAGTGGAAAATGCCTTGAGGCGCAGCAGCGTCTGAGGCGGGTGAGAAATCCGGCCTGCAGAGTCGCGGCTGGCCTTCAGATCTGCGGGCTGCCTGTGAGATGCCATGTTACCTAAACCCATTTGGGCACTGAGTTCCAGGAGCGGGGGCATGAATTCCGATGATGGGGCTTTATCCGGTGTGCATCCAGCTCAGAGTGGTTCCTGAGGCCAGCCACTGTGGGCAGCCAGGATGCGCTTGTCCTTGAGGTTTTCCGAGGCATCAAGGAGATGGCTGGATAAAGAATTTAGCACAGAGCTTGACTGACAGCAGGTGCCCACTACATGAGACACACTAATAATGTCTGTGGAGGCCGGGTGCAGTGGCTCATGCCTGTCATCCCAGCACTTTGGTGGGAAGATTTCTTGAGGCCAGGAGTTCAAGACCAGCCTGAGCAATACAACGAGACCTCATCTCTACCAAAAAAAAAAAAAAAAAAAAGGAAAAAATTCACGGAGCCTGGTGGTGCACACTTGTAGTCCCCACTGCTCAGGAGGCTGAGGCAGGAGATTGCTTGAGCTCAGGAGTTCCAGGCTGCAGTGAGCTATGACTGCATCACTGCGCTCCAGCCTGGGCAATACAGCAAGACCCTGTCTCTTATAAAAATAAAGAAGTCTGTTGAAAAGAATGAATGAAGGAAGGAAGGAAGGAATGAGAAGGAAACCCTGTCCCAGCTCCTCCCACAGGGAAGCTGGGGCAGGCAGGGGGAGCATCCAGCCCCACTCCCTCCCTCACTCTGGCCCAGAAAGCACTGGTGCCATCTGCACAGGGTGGAGCCACAGAAAGTGCCCCACTCGCAGCAGAGGGAGGCCATTTGAGGACAGCAGGGAAAATGGGATCTCAGCCATCCAGGAGGGGGCCAGAGATGTGGGATGGACACCTAGGAAATCCAGCCGAGGACACCAGAGTGGCTTTTGACTCTGGCCCCTGGCTGAACGCGTTCCCTTTACAGTTTAAATTTAGGCTCAAGGAGAAGCTGGCAATTGGCGGGGCCAGTGCTGTAGAGAGAATGTAGAGTTTCCGGAAAATAGCCAGCACTTCAGCAGTGCTGACTATGTGCTCATCCAAGCATGTTACGGATGTTAACTCATTTCCTCTCCCAGCAACCCTGTGAGAGGGTCTGCGTATTCCCACCTCCATTTTACAGAGGCTCAGAGAGGTTCAGTCCTTTGCCTGAGGTCACACAGCTAGTAAGAGGCAGAGCCAGGATTTGAACCCTGGCAGTCTGGCCCCAGAGCCCTGGCTGTTAACCATTAGGCTTTACTGCCCCAGTTATAATAACATTCATAAAAGTGAACCTTCATTGAATGCTATTTATAGATCAAGCACTATTCTAATGATTTTAAAGCATATTTAATTCTCACAGCACTCTGATGAAGCAAGTATTAATTCTACAATTGAAGAAACAGAGGCGGCTGGGCGCGGTGGCTCAAGCCTGTAATCCCAGCACTTTGGGAGGCCGAGACGGGCGGATCACGAGGTCAGGAGATCAAGACCATCCTGGCTAACCCGGTGAAACCCCATCTCTACTAAAAAATACAAAAAACTAGCCGGGCGAGGTGGCGGGCGCCTGTAGTCCCAGCTACTCGGGAGGCTGAGGCAGGAGAATGGCGTAAACCCGGGAGGCGGAGCTTGCAGTGAGCCGAGATCCGGCCACTGCACTCCAGCCTGGGCGACAGAGCGAGACTCCATCTCAAAAAAAGAAACAGAGGCCCAGAGACACTGAGTCACTTGCCCAAGGTCACACAGCTGGCCAGTGGCAGAGCCAGCCTTTGAACCTGAGCCTTCTGGTTGCAGAGCTACGGCTTTTAGGCACTGTGCTGAGGGCCTCTGGAATGACACAGATGTGCCCTCGAGTTACACAGGGAGGCAGGTTGAGGGTGACGCCCACCAGGCCCACCCAAGGCTGGGCATTAATAATCACAGTGCATACACCAGGCCCAGGGAGGTCGAGCCACTTGCCCAAGCTCACACAGCAAGCTCACAGCACACTCAGGCTGTCACGCAGTCTGGGCTACCCCCTTAACCCTGCCTGGCCCCTGCAGCCAACAGAGACATGGCATCCATCGTGTCTGAGATCATGATGTATGTGCTCATCGTCGTGTTGACCATATGGCTCGTGGCAGAGATGGTTTACTGCTACAAGAAGATCGCTGCCGCCACGGAGACTGCTGCACAAGAGAACGCGTGAGTGGGGTGCCTGCGAGGAGTGAGGGCACACAGGGCAGCTTCGCACTTGCCAGAGAGGAACACCCGGAGCCGGGCGGGGAGGAGGCAGTGGAGCGGCCCAGGGCGCCATCTCTCAGCACCACCCAGAGGGGAGCGCTCCCTGTCAGACATGGGATAGGGGTGTCAGACCCAGTCCCTTCCTCCCTCAAACCCAGGAGCCCAGGCTCCCAGCCAGATTCCTCAAAGACCCTGAGGAGTCCACCCGTAGCCCCCTCCTCTAACTAAGGAGCCCTGTGTACTTGGGGTGGAGCCCGCTACCTTCCCCCATCCCCTGGGGGTTGGGTCGGTCTGATAATGGGGTCACTGTATACCTGGCCTTTCCCCCACAGCTCGGAATACCTGGCCATCACCTCCGAAAGCAAAGAGAACTGCACGGGCGTCCAGGTGGCCGAATAGCCCCGGTAAGGCGGATGGGCGGGCAGAGGAGAAGGGGATTGGGAGGGGCCAAAGTCCCCCAGGTCCCTAATTCCCCCTCTCTTGTTCCCCTTCAGGCCCTGGGCCCCGCCTCAAGGAAGAGCCAGCCCTAATGGGGACTCTCCAGGCACCGCCTGCGCCCAGTGTGGGGGTGGCCACTCCTGGGCCCGGGAAAGCCTGAGTCCTGCCGACGGAGCCGCTGGGGTGGGAGGGGCAGGGGGATTGGCTCGCACCCCCGCCTTGGCCTCCTCCAGCTCCTGCCCCGCCGGCCGCGCACCGCCATGCATGATGGGTAAAGCAATACTGCCGCTGCCCCCACCCTGCTTCTGCTGCCTGTTTGGGGAGGGGGGCGGTGAGGTGGGGGCAGCGGCCCCGCACCCCTCCTCCTTGCTGATTTGCACACATTGGCCGCTTCAGACATGCACTTCTGGGGCCAGCCCCTCCCCGCCTCCTCCCTGCCCGGCGGCAGGGATCGCGATGATGGGCTGGAGCAGTCTGGGGCAGGGGGTTCTGGGACCCACTCCGACTCCCCTTCCCCGGCATCATTTCCTCTCCCGCTTCCTCCGGCTGGACCTGGGGTCCCCCCTCCCTGTAATGCACTCCTGCCCCGGCCCAACCTCGCCCTCTCTCACCAGCCTTGAACTGTGGCCACCTAGAAAGGGGCCCTTTCAGCCTCGTCTCTCTTTACAGAAGTAGTTTTGTTCATGAAATAAAGACTCTTGGACTTGATGCATAGTTTCGAGTGTGAGCCCCGTCACCTTCCCCCCATCCTCGTCCCCGAATCCTAGAGCCCGCTTTCCAGGGACCCCACCTGAGGGCCCACAGGTGAAGACACTAATGTCTGATCCGTGTCGGGGTTGGGGGAGCCATTCGCTCGGCGGGGACCATGAGGGGTGAGGGAGAGTAGAACGGAGCCAGGAAGCGAGGGAGTGCTGTGGAGGGAAGAGAATGGAGGCTGATGCTGGGGTGCAGGGGTGGCATGGGGTGTGCGGTGTGCCCAGCAGTGTGGGTCTCTGGAGAGGTGGGCGCTGGGGAGGAGAGGGAAGGAGAGACAGGTATGGATGGAAAAGCAGAGGAAGCCGGAAGCCAGGCTAAACCAGCGTGACCCAGTGAGGGGCCCTGGGCTGAGTGGAGGAAATGGGTGCGGTGGAGATGGGTTTGGCTGGGCACAGCGGGCACGTGTGGGTAAGCGGGTGGGGCCGGTTGTGCGGGAGGCCTATCTGGAGCAAGCAGCGGAGGCTGACTGTGTCCGGCGTGTGGTTGAGCACGGGCAGGTGTCTGGCAGTGACCCTGCGCGTCTGGTGTTTACCTGGCCCTGGGTCTGACGTGGACCGCGCCTGGCTGCTGGCGGGACAGTGTGTTATCTGCCTGCGGACGCTTCCGGCCACTTGGCCTGGGCCTCTGCCCTTAGCGCTGTGTTTTCCGGGCCAAGCCCCCCATCCCCCCCATCTAGTGCTAGGACTTTCTGGCTCCAGAGGTCACTGCGGCCGGGCGGAGGCTGCCAAAGCAAACCAGCCCCGTGACTTGTAGGAAGGCAGCGGGGGAGGGGCCGGGGGAGGATGAGCAGGGCAGGCGGGAGAGGCTGGGGCTGGGGTCGGGGCCCAGGAATTGAGCAGGGAACTAGGCAGAGGTGCAGCAAGTGGCGGGCGCACCTGGGGCTGGAGACTGCAGACAGGCCGAGGGGGAAGGGGTCACCGGGTGGGGATGGAGTGGGCTTAGGGAAACTGGGGCCCTCCATCTGATCTCTTCTGGTCACACCCCCACCCTTCAGCCTGCACTTTCTCCCTAAACCCCCAGTCGTCAGCCAGGCGTGTCCCTGTTCCCACACCCCCGCAGACAGGCACACCTGGGTCCCCCTGGAAGTCCAAGGCGAGCCCCATAGCTGGGCCCGCCTGGTCCAGCCCCCGCAAGCACGGCCCCATCAGCTAGGTGGCCTCCAGCGCTGCCAATCGAATGGTCCGGCCCCTCCCCGCCCCTTCCCCC